GACCAGACGTCTTCATCAAAAAGCCAAATATGAAGTAATAACGGAGCATCAGATGTGTGTAGAGTTCGGAGTGGCTGTACGGTAGCAGCAGCAGCTGTCGTTTTCAGCCGATCTAATGAAGGTAAACAGTGGCAGGCCATGTGTAAACAGCACTGTGCTCTGGCACTGCACATCTCAGAGGCTGCAGCAGGTACTCCTGTTACCTCTGATGGTTGCCACACATGTTCGGCATGACTCATAAAACCTGTGTTTCTTAAACTTCATCTTTCTTGGAACCAAAAGACTTGCAAATAACAGACGTGCTGTTCTTATTATAAAAGTTCTTCCTCTGCTTTTTCGACCCCCATATTTCCTCATGAGTCTCTCTCCCTTCACCCATCAAGACAGTCTGTTAGCTTTACCACTCCAGCGTGACTTCTACATGGGGGCAACAATCTAGAGAAGAAGGGCCACATATATGAACATGTAGAGCGTGAATGCATGGTGCATGGAATAAGCTACCATTATCGCAGTTCAAGCAGTATTTGAGATACGTTTACCACAAACGTTGGTATCACAATGACGATATCATTTTGATATATCGCACAGCCCTAGTTCTCTCTTAGACCCCGGCCACACGAGGACGAAAACGGCTAAACGCATAGGATTAACGCAAACAAGCTTCCGTCCACACGCAATAGTTATCCGGATAGTGTCTGCCCACACGAGACCGCTCCGTTTAGCTCCAACCGCTGGAGAAGCTGCAGTACATATGCAGGAGCCTGTACGTGGCGCTGTAACTTCCTCCACAAAAGCAGCGAAGAAGCATGGTTGTCATGGTTGCCCTTCTGTTTATTCTCCGCGGTGGGGGCCGAGGGAACCGGGCAGAGTTTTTCGCCAGTCAACGTGTATTAAAGTTTAAACCTTCCGACAAAATTATAAAAGTGCCGGTCAAAGGTGTTCTTTGTTATTTATTGAGCTTTAAAACAAATTAATAACGACTCTATATAATATAATAATAAAAATACACGGAGCCTCTCTTTGGACAGCGTCAGTGTCTGTTTCATGCAGCAGCTGATCCAGTAATGAGTGACCCGGCCGACAGTAAAAATAAACATATTTATAACTAGTTTAGGTAGTTTGAGAGGTGTCTCCGTCCTATCAGATTAGACTTCACTCGCGTTTATGTCCATATCGAGAGAAAGATAAATAATCTGAATTCAGTGTGCAGTTTACTTTGACGCGGGGGTGAGCAGCAGAGGTGGGGAGAGGCGGGGCTATTGCGCAATCATTATCAGAAAATGATCGCTGAAGCTGCAGTACATATCCACAAAAGCAGCGAGTAAGATCCCCCCGGATGTGTAAGTCTGCTGTAGATGTTGCACAAAGAACTGTAGCATGGTCAGTAGCGTCCGGAGCACGATAGCAACTCTGCGATCCGCCATTGTTGTTGTTGTTGGTGGCGAAACACATCAGCAATGGCGCGGGGTACGCGGAGGTGAGCAGCAGAGGTGGGGAGAGGCGGGGCTATTGCTATTGCGCAATCACTATCAGAACATGTTCGTATAGGGCGCACACACGGAGCCGTTGGACCCCCCCCAGAGCGTTGCGTATGCCGTTCTATCCACCTTGGGACCCGTTGTCGTTTCCTCAGTCGTTTAGTGCCGTATGCGGTCGTCCTCGTGTGGCCGAATGGTCTATATGACACTAAACAGTAACGCAAACGGCCGTTTTCGTCCTCGTGTGGCCGGGGCATTACTCAGCAATGGATTAGGTCTTCGAGTAGATAAGGCCCTATATTTACTGCTGATATTTCAAAATGGTCCTATTGTTTTGGAGATGTATTGGAGGAAATAAAACGGTTTGTCTAACGGTACAGTTATTATATAAGTTTCTACACTTAATGTGTGACTGATCCTTTTTGAGGGGTTTAAAAATAGGGGGATTTTATCGTTCCCACATACCAGTTAGAGTGTGAGCTTCATTTGATGATGAAGGCAGTTCGATGGGGCTGAAAGATCTGAAAGAAATTACACCTTGAGTTGAGAATATTTGTCACCCATAATGGCAATAATGAACTTCTATGCATATATATATTTGCATAATATGGATACATTAGGCACACAGTGGTGGATTTGTCATCGCAGAAAATCCCTACTGTTCTTTTTTTCAACCTCTTTAACTTCATCTATTGCTGTTAACCTTGTCAGATAGTGTCTACATCTATCGCTCTTTGGCTGTTAGAGTAGTCAGGTTGGTATATTTCTCTCTGGTGGGCTTTGTGCTGACAGAAGTCCCTGGTAAAGATCAGCCCACACTCTCTCTCTCTCTTCAGGAACCTCAGACACATAATGAAGCCATTCTGCGGCTCTGCAGCTGGGGCCGGGTAATCTGGGATTGGGCCTGATAGTGGATCACAGGAAGAGGAAAGACTCTGTCAGGAAGCATGATCAGAGCAGGAGCCTTTGGCCCGAACGCGCCTGTGGTTCTCCAAAAATAAAGACATGATACATTTCAGTGGCTGTTAGACGATAGGGGGATTTTGTTTGCTGTGAACTGAGTTTGTGTGCGAGTATGAGTGATGAGTAATGCAGTCTTGATGCCAGAAAATGAATTCAGCAAGGACTCATAAAAGACGTTGTGTAAAACACACACAAACCACTGTGCGCTGCTTTGACACAATGAAAAGCTCGACGTTATGCAAATTAGACTTCATAACGAGGTAGTCCACCCAGGAGTCGACTTCTGTAGACTTTACAAAAGCTGAGGCAGCTAGAGAGAGATGAGCAAAGATTTGTTCTCACGTAGAGATGTCTAATATGTGCATTCTGCAGGCTATTGAAGTTACTGCAAACAGTCAGTGTTTTTAAATGCCAGTAAACAGCAGCATAGGTGAAAGTGCTTTGATTTTAATGTGTTGAGATGGGAGTCAGGATGATTATGCAATTAAACATTGTGTGTGTGGGTGTGTGTTTTTGCTTGAGGTTGAATCATACAATTGAATTCCTGAAAGCCTTTGTCTGAGGAGTAAACATGTTACTGCTAGTGTCTCATGAATCACTGGACACTAGGCTTTCATAGATGTGAAAGGTCATTGGCTAACTAAACATAGGGACGAAAAACTGCTTACATCGGCAGCAAGTGTGGTAGTATCACAAGTTGTGGTGAAGACAAACGGTGTGAACAAAGAATATAAGGAAGGTTTCATAGATGATGATAAATGAAATGGTCAGCAGGAGCCAAAAAAAAGTATGCAGATGATGTGCGGTTTACCCTCTCAAGTAGTGTTCAATGACTTTGTCAGTCTCAGAGACTTATGATAAAAAGCTTAAACTCATGAATGAAGAGCTCAATAGAGAATGAGATTAAACAGACACTTGAGAGAGGAACATAATATGTGTTTAGATGGGTAGTACATTTACATTTAAGACATTCATCCAATGCTCCAAAACATCTAAACACCCCACAGACTGTCATCATGTTTTCCACGTGTCATGTTGAGTTTTTAAAAGGTTTGAATTTAGCTCCAAAAAGGACCGTATTTTCTAGACTACCCCTTTGATTCAGGTGCTAGTAGTGAACATTAAGGTTTGATGAAGCTTGTTGACACTTAACTGGATTTAAGTAGCATTCATGTATTGATTGTATCATTAGAAATTATGAAACACTGCTCGCAAAAAACATGTGATATGATAATAATGAATACTAGTACATTTCATCCCCACTGGTTTTCCCTTAGACTTTCTACAGTATCATTGTGAAACAGATATGAAATACCATTTTATTTTGTATTAAATGTCTTAAATGTAACAGTGAGACTTCACAATACAGATAAAGTGTTCTTGATGTATGAGGCTCTTGTTCATGTTTGCATGTGAATCACTGCCAGCATATTGTCATTGCTTGCTGACTTCATAATGTGGTCCATCCAGTGCATTCATAACCTCATCGTCATAATCTCCGATATGAATTCTTAGCCGGTCACTCAACAACTGCGACATTCACAGCCCAAGGAATGTGACCATGTAATAAAACTTTTGTCCAGACTTCCGGGAACTTTATGAGTGAATCACCACCAGTTAACGTTTAGCCTTTTAAACCAAATCGCTGACACTATCTTCTGTAGCCGTGCAGTGAAGACAGGAATGCCTGTAGAAATCATCACATTTAACTTCGGTAGAGACACAAGTTGCCTCTGAGTGAACAAGAAACTCACTCGGCTGGTGGGTTTTTAAGACTTGATGCGGGGTGACTGTCATATTAAAGCACACTGCTGTGGTTCACTGAGCAATGTACCGCTCTCTTCCTTGCTCTTTCTCCACTCCGTCACACTATTTCTGGATTCACCCCACCTCACCACTCCATCTGTTGGGTCACTTTGTGCCTTCACCCTTTTCTGTCTCTACTGCAGTCCCTACTCATCTCTCAAAGCTGTTTGTGGTTTGGCTTCTCGCTGTAATACGTTTTGAAAAGAGTAGCTTCTGTCTTAGACAAATGCAGCCCACATCATCACTGTCGGCCTTTTCCTAAATGAGACTCATGTCTAAGAAAATATGCTACAGCGCTGACATGTTCAAATGTTCTCTTTGCATCTGGATTACTTTTGAGTGGGATTATATTAGCTGGAGTGTTTCAGTGGTTTTAATCTGCAGCCGAGCGGCCTCAGCCTTGATGTCCTCTGGGTATATGAGTGTTTGTGTGTGAGCGCACGTGCACTCCAGTGCACAGGGTGTGTGATAATAATATCCCTTGTCAGCCTCCTGAAGATTAGCCTCAAAGGAAGAAATCCTCTGTCATATCCCCTCACCTTATTCTCTCTCTCTCTCTCTCTCTCTCCCTCTCCCTGTCTTATCAGTCTCACATTGTTTTACAGTTGAGTGACTCGCTCTCTTCTAAATTCAGCATTCAGTTTTACTTTGCGCCTGTGGAGTAAAATGTGGGTCACATAATCTCTGTGTTTCAAATGATGCAAATTGTTTCTAAGCAGATTTATTGTAATACTTTTTCGCTTTTGTTTTCAGATCTGCATCAGACGGAAAACAGCAGAAGACGACGAGTGTTCCTGACTCAAACTGGTCCTCCATGGACTAGTGAAGTGATTCCCACCGTGCCGGTTGAAAGCAATGTTTTTTGGAGCTGGAGGCCGTAGCACCATCAGCCGAGTGTGTGTGGGGCCACCCCTCTCCCTCTTTCCCTGCACACCTCCTACCATGGGATGCCAACCCCCTGCATCTCTGCCCTGAGCTCTCCTGGGGTGCCATGAACAGCTACAGAGACAGAGGGGTGACCTGCACCTCCTCCGACCTCCTGGATGGAGGAGGAGGAGGTTTTATGCAGCACACTCCCTTTCGTCACACCCCCAATGGCCACCCGGCACTTGGCCCCTGCGACCCTGCCATGTTACCGCGCATCTCCGTGCCCAAAATGGGTGTTCGGGCACGGATTGCAGAATGGCCGCCACGCCGTGCACATTCCAGGGAGTCGCTACTTGAAAACGGGCACCTTCGCTACGGAGACGACTGCTCCACTCTTTACTCTTCAGGTTTGTCGTCTGACATGGGGCTGGTGCGGGGAGGAGTCGCCAGGCTACCACGGAGACGGTCTAAGGATGTGGAGTTCAGAGGGGGAGGGTTCAGTGTTGAAAGAAATCCACATTATAGCCTGAGAGTGTTCCCTCCACTGAGACAGCGCTCCAACAGCGAAGTGACGCTGAGCGAACAGGACGAAAATGAGGTGAGTGTTGGAGCTCCAGCCGCTCTATTCACACCACAGTGAACTGGCATGCTGCTCTATTCACAGCATGACAAGGAGCTGCTTTGACCCACAGTGAGAAACCACACACTGTACTGACTGTCATGCTGCACTTTTCTGCAATTAGTTTGCGTGGTGTCACAAAGAACTTAACAAGAAGTAACAAGATTATAATGCATAATCATAATCCAGTATTCAACTCCACCTCATGTTATGTGTCATGACAAAAAGGCAGAAATAATGATAAAAGAACAAGAGGTATGTTGTACCTAACCATTAGAGGGGCATAGTTAATGTGTGGTTCACTACTTTCCTCTGTTTTATTATTCTGTTCTCTGTGGTGATGTACATACCAGATGATCTCACAGCTAGCTTCAATGGAAGTTCATGGCCCAGTTAACTGCTTTTAAATTCATGCTAAATATACATATTTGCTATTATAAAAACCCGTGATTTTCTTTTTTTAAACCATCGAGCAGGCATCGTGTAAAAGCACCCTCAGTGTTGTTTTGAATCCAATGATGTGTCACCGTAGATTTAGGGGGATGTTAACAATAACCCTAATCGAAATTTGTATAGATATTGCAATTATATCTTGGATTCTGTTGGCCAGGATAATTTGTAGTAAAATCTGATATAGTGATGGCACTAAAACTTCCTACCTTTTTTTCTTTTTAGGTGGAGGTCCGTGGCGGTGGCGGGATGGGGAGCATGTTCAGAGAGTACGGCAGCACCTCCTCCATCGACATCCAGGGCATCCCTGAGCAGAGTTTCTTCGACATGCTGACTCAGTTCCACCAGGAGAGGCCCGACCAGCGCAGCTCGGCACCCGTACGACTCGGAGAGCTGCTGGGAGCTCCAGAGTCGCAACCAAGCGCACCCCTCCCCTCCGCTCCCTCACCTGGTCCCACAGGTGGGGAGGACAGAGGGACGGGAAGGAAGGACGGAGCTGAGAGAGTGAGGAAGAAGAGCGGGGGCACAGAGTCGTCGCTGGGCACCTCCTCTTTGTTCAGGAAACTTCGGAGCTCAAGTCGAGGTGAGCTGGACGGAGGGAAGGGAGAGACTAATGAGGACGGGGGAGGCCGGGCTGCTTCTGACCCCTCCTACAAACCGTGGGTGTGCCCCAAGACTTTTGTCCACTTTGACGCTCAGAGCATCCTGTTTGACTTCCACGAGGCGGCGGCTCAGCGGGGGTACGCCGCCCAGAGGAGGAACACCGCCACGGGGGCCTCAGCTGCATCAGTGTCCCTGTCCGTCTCAAAGTCCTCGGGGCAGAGCGTAAACGAGCCGGTTTACTCCAGCATAGAGGATCTGACCCTGAGCCTGGACCCCGGCTCCATGACCCCCTCCCTGGGCATGGACCCCCTGGATGGGCCTCCAGGTGCCCACAGCTCGAGCCACCTGCTCCTTTGCTGCCCCCACTTCCTCAACGAGACCGGGGGCCACGGGGAGCGCAACATCAGCTTCCTGAGCTCCTCAGCAGAGCGGGACAGAGGAGGAGACGGGGGGAGGGGCTGGCTGAGGAGGAGCAACGCCAGTTTGTCGGTGCTCGAGGTGCCTATTGAACAGCAGGTGACCAGGCTGGACAGACTGAAACTGTACGGCATCGAGCATGTAGACCTGGGGGCCCGCTACTACAGAGACTACTTCCATGGGAAAGGTAACACTGATAAACATCATCTATAAGGCAAATAATAGCAATTCATATTCATTGATTGTTGATGCAAGCTCATCACAAGAATCAAAATCCCTGAGTGTAAAACTGATTATACATGGTTATGGTTTGCAGTATTTCAACATACATTTTGTTTAACTGTGCTAGCTGTTATACATGTGTTATTTTATTAGAAGTAAATAATAATAGGAATGAACAGCATTCATTCTCAACTAGGACAAGTTCATTTTCATTACACCTTTCCAAAGAAAGCAACTCAACTCTTTTCCTAAAACATAAAAAGCCATTAGGACAAGTAGTATACATCAATCCCATGCAACGAGTAACCTAGAGATGAATGAGCCATCTGGACGTTTCCTTGGGCTCTGAGATGATGAAGATTTTCACTATTTTCAGAAATGTTAGACACTAAATTATTAGTTAAATAAACAAAACAAATACAAAATATATACCAGCAATTTATAGAGACCTGGGAGCTCTGTGTATTAGTCATTGGCAGCTTGAATCTTAATGAAAGATTATCGCCAGGGTTATTTTAGTGCCTCTGCTGTATATAAATCCCGTTTTCTACTCTGATTTGTGCCCCTCATTTCTATTGGACTGTTGGAATTAGACAGTGCAGAGGTTGTTTCTCGGTGTCATTCCCCACATCTCCTCCTGCAGCTGTTAATATCCAGCTGGGCCTGAGTGAGCAGAGGAGCGTGGGCCAACCTGGCAACGCTCCCAGAATTGATTACACGTACCTGCAACTGGACTGTTGATGATACCTCACCTGCCTCTCTTCACGTTCTCTGGCATTTCACCTGGTCGGCTTTGTTTTACATAGGTTTTCAGTGTCAGAAGTAACACCTAACTTCCAGAGAGGAAAGGTGTGTGTGTGATGTGTGCCCAATTCTTTGTACGGCCGCTTGTTTGTGGGCACTTCTTGTCAGACGCTGCGGATGGAACTTCCTCTTGGCAAGCATCATCTGCTGCACCCTAATTAGTGACAGATGCTGTGAGGAGCACATGTGTGCAAGCAAGCGTGTGTGAGACAGGCCTGCAGCCACACAGATAAAGGTTATCATTCCAAAAATATGTTCATCTGCTGACTCGGTTCATACTAAGCTGTCCCCACAACGTGTGTGTGTGTGTGTGTGTGTGTGTGTGTGTTTCTGTGCTGTGTCAGAAAGCCTCATAAAAAAGCTGACATTTCCACCACAGGACATGGCATGAGAGCTAAGCAGGCCTGAGTCTCCGAACGTGTACTGGTTCATTCCAGTAACACGGGGGATAGAGGAGGAATACTTGTCAAGCTAGATGTCTCCCAGAGTGTCTGCAGTATTTGCCTTTCGACTCCCACACTGCCTGCGGCGTTGGCATGTCCCCGGCTTAGCTTTAGAGCTTTAGAGGAGGACATGCAAGATGCTCGTGAAGTGCGCCGATAGCTTTGTTTCAGCCTCTTAATGAATAAATATGTTATGTGCCAACACGGGAAACACGCCACAGAATGTTAATTGGCGACTTATGACACTGGAGGAAACATTTGTTTCTTTAGAGCCTTATTGTTGAATACACATTTTAATTGTATTTCATTAACGTTAAGCTCCTGCACATCTACATCAGAAACATTTCCAGCATTTCTATAACCACACACCATTTAATCTTCACCTTTCTTAAGTAGCAATTATCATTTCTCCTGGTAACTAGAATGGATTGTTCAATTACATAGGTATTGATTACTAGATGTCATTGTCTAAGTCCTGTCCTGCTACACACACCCTCTGATGTTTCCTGCCAACCTCTCTCTCTTGAACTCTTCTTTTTTCTATCTCTTTAAGGTTAAGTGCTCGTAAATATTTAAATCATATGTTTTTGTAAAGTTTTTTAAGCACCACGTAAATATTTTTAGTTTTGTGGATGATTCATTTTTGGTCTCTAAATGTCAGAAAATAGTAAACAAATAAAAAACTAAATTGTTTCCCAAAGACCGAGTTGATGATCAGCTGCCCTAGATAATCTATTTCAACTATGTAATCAAAATATTAGTTTATCATGGATAGTTTATCATTGGAGAATGTGGATATGTTTATCATGTGTTTCACCCATTCTTTGGTTCATAAAAAAATGTATGCTATTTTTGGTAAAAAGATTTTAATTTAATTGTTTTGTTAAACATACAGTCTAAAACCCTTTCAGTTTACTGTTTTCAAAGAGTGATAAAACCAGTAAATATTCACATTTAGAAGCTAAAACGTGTACATTTTGGTATTTTTGCAAAAGTTGCTTACCATCTCTCCTTGTCCTTCACCAGAGCATTCAAACTACTTTGGGGCAGACGATAAGATGGGCGCCGTGGCTGTGAGCATCCGCAGGGAGAAATTGGATGACACCAAAGACCTGAAAGACCAGTACCAGTACCGCATCATCGTCAGAACCAGCGAGGTATGAAGACCTGCGTGTGTTTGTTTTGAAGATTTCAGAGTGATGAGACATTGATGAGTCAGTATGAGTGTGCACACTCGAGTTAATTACCTACTTTCATTTACCTCCCTTTGTGTTCCTACCTGTAGCTCTCCCTACCCTCTCTGCCCTTGTTTTAACCTCCCCCTTCACCCCCTCACCCCCGCTCTCGGCTCTGCCAGTGGAAAATTCCACCTGCCCAGTCTCAGTGCAGCAAAGCCAAACCAAACACCGGCTGCTGTGGCTAAAGAGTTTGGCTGCATTGAGAACACACTGCATCTTTTCCATTTTTGATGGCTCAAATACTCATAATGTATTAAGTTAGAGGCTAGTGAACATCGAGAATGAACTAAGAATCTCACTCAAAAATGTCTGAAGGCTATAAACGAATCTTTATTTACTTCACTCTTACTCCCAGATCACCAAGTCTTGATTCAGCTCTTTTGGGGTTGATTTGTGGAATCAATATGCCATATGATTATTACTACTGACGGAACATAACTAGGCAAAAATGGTTGCCTCTTCTTCCTGGTATAATGTACAGGGTGCCCTTAAAAACATGTAAGTTCTCTGGTTTCCTCCCATTAACATTTTTTGCCATTTATTTAAACCAAAACGACTTATCGACGCATCCAAATAGATACTCAACTAATATGCAATGAAAATATTCTATAGTTGCTGCCCCTAGTGTAATCAATTACTTTTTTCTCTGTTCTTGTTATGGATGGCATTAGAGGGATCTGTTTTAATATTTAGTTTGCCTTTATAAATGATAAACACCTGTGTAGCAAAGTCCCTCAAACACACAGCAAAGTTAGCTTCTGGTTCATGTCGTGGTCTTCCTCTGGCTCTGTGTTGTTGTAGCTGGATTACATGGCTGCCTGGCCTCATCACCTTAGCTCTCGCACAACAATGGAGCTTCTCCGCCACCTAAGTACACAGAGCAGAGCTAACAGACCCAGCCAGCTCACCAGCGCCTACTGTTCCCACACAGAGGAAAAAGGAGATTGATTGCAGACTTTATTCTCTGTAGCCGCAGCTGCTCTCAAATATCCTTTCCCCCAAGTCTGTCATTCAATTCTGTGCAGCAGTGCTGACGCAGCAAGGTGGATAGACTTCCTCTTTCTGACTCCATCACACATTTATACACGCAGCCCGCTCAGCGGTCACTCACCCGCTGTCGTTCAGAAGCCGACGAGCTGAAACGAAAGCTCCATAACTTTAGACGCACGTCAATCAGGTTTTATTTCTCTGCGGCACTTGTGTGTGTGTGTGTGTGTGTGTGTGTGTGTGTGTGTGTGTGTGTGTGTGTGTGTGTGTGTGTGTGTGTGTGTGTGTGTGTGTGTGTGTGTGTGTGTGTGTGTGTGTGTGTGTGTGTGTGTGTGTGTGTGTGTGTGTGTGTGTGTGTGTGTGTGTGTGTGTGTGTGTCAGAGACAAAGAGTGTAGCTTCAAGGCAGCAGACAACTATTATGAGAAGTGGGACCATCCCTCATCTGATGGACCCTCTTCAGTCTACCTCAAGCTGCTTATCATCCACCTCTGCATTTTCCAGAGGCGTTGTTCTGTAGCTGAGCCTGACCTCTGACCCCCTATCTTTGTTTCAATAACATTTCTACAAATGTTCTCCTATGTCTTTCTTGTGTTTCTATTTGTCCATGCTTTCTCAGTCCTACCTGTTGTTATTTATTTTCTTTTTTACCCTACCTATGTTGTGTTTTAGAAGTAGAACACAGATAACATAGCTGGTCATAATCGACACAAAATGTATAATAATAGTAGAAAATGCATGTAAAACTAAAAAATATACACAAAACAAGAAGCCTGTTTACCCATACCAACAAAGAAAGCAAAAAAGAAATAAAAACGAATAAATAAATTATGTTAAAAAAAGTATGCTACCAAGCAAAATATTTATACTTAAAAAACGATTGAAGAATAAAGTGGAAAAAGTGTCGTTAATAAGTAAGTGGGTCAGCATGCATTGTGTTCCTAAGACAGGAAAGAGGTAAATAGTAAAGGCAAATGTATTTTTATTTTCTCTCCCTTCATTCAGCTTGTAACCCTGCGAGGCTCCATTTTAGAGGATTCGGTGGCGACAACGGGGAAGCACGGCACAGTGCGGGGTCTGTCGCTCAAGGAGGTGCTGGAGCAGGTGGTCCCGGAGCTCAACATCTCCTGTCTGAGGCTGGCGCTCAGCACACCCAAAGTCACCGAGCAGCTCCTTAAACTGGACGAACAGGGGGTGGGTTATGTGTCTGTACTTGCCACTGATTGCTAAGCTTGTGTGATAAAACTTGAAGGTTGAAACTGCTTTCATTAAACAAACACGAAGTCAGGCTGGCGTAAATGACAGCATAAGGAAAACATATGACACACTTAATATGTGCTCAGATAAGTTGTATAAAAGGGTCTGAAATCTGTATCACTGATTAAGCGTTGGTGCAAAGTATGAAATCAGCAGCAAAAGCTGAGTGGAGCGGGGCGTAATATGTTTGAGCGTGACTGTGTAACGCTAAAAGCTTTAATGTTTAACCATGTTATCTCACCTTTTCTATAATGGAGGCTGAAGTACAAGGTGGAGGTATTTCTGCCCGGCCATCAGCTTGTTTTTATTTGTAAGGGTGTAAACGATAAAGTGGTACTCAGTGTTCTAGTGTATCCAGAAATAAATCTTATGTACTTTGACATTAAGTTGCATTAGAAGCATGTCAGGTGTTCACACTGCAGCGGTCCAGCTGTTTGTTTGTGTGATGGTAATTGTATCTCCTTCCTGTAGTTGAGTCAGAAGCACAAGGTGGGTGTTCTGCTGTGCCGAGCGGGCCAGAGCACAGAGGAGGAGATGTACAACAACGAGGAGGCGTCGCCCGCCTTCTCTGCCTTCCTGGAGCTGCTGGGGGAGCAGGTGCTCCTCAAAGACTTCAGCAAATACGCAGCACAGCTCGACACAAAGAGTGAGTCTGCATGAGAGCCCCGTTCATGCTCTACGTCCCATACATTAGGTGTTTTAATTCCCATGTTGGTCATTAGACACCGGAGATGTTTTTAAAGAAAAGGACAATCTGTCAATCTTACTTTCTCACTTTACAAAAGGAAATAAAAATGTATAAATTAACATATATGTTGCCATAAGCATTGTTAAGAAAATAATTAAGAAGAAAGTAAAAAAGTGGCGTAATTTAATTAACTGCAGCAGCACAAGGTTAAAGATATACACCATGTTAAGGTCACTTTAATTGATTTCATCTCATAGATCATCTCTTAGATCATTTGTATATTTTAAGTTGATAATGAAACGACATGAACAAGCCCATTTTCTATCCCCCCTTTTTTTTTTACTTTCATCCATGTAGTAACAGCAAAGTGCTTAAGATAAGACATTTGAGCATGATTGACATATGAATGTCTCATCATACGGTGTATAGCTTGTTCACTGTCAAGCATTATAATATAGGCAGCTACATTCTCTACCAATGTATGAGGAGATTCACTAAAGAGAAACAATAAACATATTGGCCCCAAGTTGTTAGTTATTCTTCCACAGAAAGACCTTTTCTCTCACAAGCATTGTGGTTCATTGTAACCACAGAAAGAACAGTCCTTTTATGTCTGAATAAAGCCGCATGGAACATTTCCATAGTCGACACCAATAGTAGAGATTCCATTACTTTTATAAGATGTAAGAAGCCAGCAACGTTATTTATTTTATGTCTTCTATGCAAGTGTCCTGATCCCAGTTTAATTACAACGCCACTCTTTGAAATCTTTTGATCCCTAGAAAAACATCTGTTTGAACCATAAAGTGTTTGGACTCATCTGTAGTATGGTGTCTGACATGAAACATCAACATTTCTTTCCCCAGCGGACTCTACGGGCACCCACTCGCTGTACACCACCTACCAAGGCTACGAGGTCATGTTCCACGTGTCCACCATGCTGCCCTACATGCCCAACAACCCACAGCAGGTAAGAGCTTTGGTTGTCTCTCAGGCCATGCTTTGATGCGTACAGCTCGAAAATTAAACCACCACTTTTCTTTTCTGTCCTCTCTTACGCGCTGGCTTTTATATTTTGGCCTCTCTCACTCTGCCTCTTGTTCTTTAACGGGATCCGAACAGGGTGGGGTTCAGTAGTGAAGAGTTTTTATGTTCTCCCTCTTTTCTTTTCACTTCTTTAAATAAAGCTGCTTTCATAAGTGTTCTCCTGGGTGCTTTTCAGCCTGGACTATGTCAGTGACCTGTGTGTAACATAACATTTGTGTGTGGCTATCTTTTATAGTTTGCATGAGTGTTTGCGTGAGAGGCTCACACGGGTAGAAACATGTGTTCAGACAGGCCTTGTGAGGATTACTGTACAATGTGTCCGTGGTGAAGGCTATGGGGAAGTTAAAATGCCTTTTTATATTTTGATATACTTTATTACCATGCCCACAGCAATCTATTGTTTCCTATAACCATTTCCATCATCCAGTTGAACATCTTGTACATTTTGAGTAAACGAATAATGTGAGGGTTCTACATTTTGAATGAAGTCGATTAAAGGTGTTTGAACAGTTCACATTACTTCCAACTCTTAAACCAGAAAGTGCAGTTTTATAAATGGCACAATATCTCCATCCAGAGGTTGGGGGGCTGCAGCAGAGAGGAGTTTTACTTTATCAGATGAGCCTGTAGGTGGCAGCATCTGATATTAAAATGACTTGCAGTAGATAACCGGAGGCGTACGGGTTGAATTAAGAATATAAATACTGTGGCTTTTTAAATTCACGAGAGGGAAAGAAGAGCGCAAGCACAGCCTGCACTCTCATCTTGTATGTGATGAAATGTTCAGCTAATACCATTTGACTAGCTGTATTCCGAATTGATGCTGTAATAGAAAAACAAATGCATTCTAGCAATAACAGTTCATGTTTGTAACGACATTGACCACAACTTCCAGTCTGAGTATGAGTGATGGATGCTCCTGTGGCACCATGCTGGAGAATGTGTGTATTTGAGGCCAAATGGTGGGCAGGATTACATAATTGGTATTTTCACACTTCCCTCTGCTGATGAGGAGAGGATTGGCAAGCATAGCTCCACAGACACAGCCGGCACTCCGTGCCTCTTACATGAACACAGATAGACGGACAAGCTAACACAGACACAAATAGCCCACACAGAATCCCAATAACAAATTACATAAAGCGCTGTTGTTGGTGTTGAGCGTCTTAATCTCTCATTTCCCTTGTCAGACTCTATCGTTGAATGAGTCGCTTGTGTCAATGTCAGTCATGTTAGCTCATTTAATTAATTAGTACTATTTTGTCTCTCTTCTCTTCTTCCTTAGCTCCTGAGGAAGAGGCACATAGGAAACGACATTGTCACCATAATCTTCCAGGAGCCAGGAGCGTTGCCTTTCACCCCGCAGAACATCCGCTCCCACTTCCAGCACGTCTTTGTGATTGTCCGTGTGCACAACCCCTGCTCTGAAAGCACCTGTTACAGGTAAATGTTGTCAACACAACCAGCACGTGTTTATATTCTGGATGTTACAATTAGTCCAATAAAGGATTAGTTACTAAACTGAAAACTATTTGCTGTTAAGGTTATAGTTAAGGGCGGATTTCAGTCTCCTAATCATGGAGGGTTTTTGTGTTTTATATCATATCAATAATTGATGTGGGTTTTGGGTCTGACAAAACAATAATACTAATAATAATAAACTGTATTTATATAGCACCTTTCATGCTTGACGCAGCCCAAAGTGCTTTACAGAGTATGACAGAAAATGACAATAATAAATGAGGAACATAATTAAAAACAAGGTGTAAACAAACAGAAAGAGTTATACCACTGAACCATAAAACAAACATGAACAGTGATATTACTAAAACATTACAATTGCCCCAAATTATAAGCCAAATTAAAAAGATAGGTTTTTAATTTACTTTTGAAAATTCCAATTGAGGTTGCTGTTCTAAGATCAAGACCATTAAAGACATTATCTGGCACTTTGAGAAACTGTCATGGACATTTTTCTCTATTTCTAGCATTTATAGACCAAACTATTAAAGGGCGTGTTAATGAATAATAAAAACAATCTTTAGTTTTAGCCCTAGTTCATATTCGGGTATACATCTTTAAAATGACAGTTTGTCACGATTCAAACCTGTGTCCCTTTTCCCTTCAGTGCTGCTGTGACGAGAATGAAAGACGTGCCTCCCTTCGGCCCCCCCATCCCCAGCGGCGTCACCTTCCGCGATCCAGAAACCTTTCGTAACTTCCTTCTAGCCAAAGTGATCAATGCAGAAACCGCAGCGCACAAGTCGGACAAGTTCCACACCATGGCGACCCGAACGCGGCAGGAGTACCTGAGAGACCTGGCGGAGAACTACGTCAGCAGCACGCCGCTCGACACCGCCGGCAAGCTCAACAACCTCATCTCCCTCGCATCTAAGAAACGTGAGCGCTCCAAGGCGAGAGAGGGGGCGGAGCTAGGGGCCGCAGGGGCCATCGCCTGGAGGGTCCACGCTCAGGACTTCAGCGGGGGGGGGGACGGAGCTGCCCTGTGCCCTGGGTCTGTCGGCTGAATACGTCCTCCTGACAGACTGCTCCACTAAAGAGGTGGTGTTTAACTGTTTCTGTGCGGACGTCATCGGCTGGAGTCCGGAGCGGCTGACGCTGAAGATCTTCTACGGGCGAGGAGACCACATCGCCGCGCGCGTGCCGGAGGGGTTTGCACAGGACATCCGGGAGGTGGTGCAGAGGTTAAAGGTGAAAAAATCATTTGTTGGTTAAGACATATCGCTTTTGTTGAGTTGGGACTGTAGTTTGTGCTAAACAAACAAAGTTATGTTTATATTTTATCATCCAGAAACACTGTGTTCCATGGAGGCCTAAAGTTTAGAAGTTTAGTTTAGAATTTATTTGCATCCTTAAAAAAAACTTTCTTAACACATTTTAAATATATTGCATCCTCCTGTTTCCCATTTCCTCATTTCTTGACCTATGCTTGTGAATTAAGGCACAGTAAACATCCTTTGTTTGGTAACCTTAAATTAAGGGTAATTTTTCTTCGGTTTTTACACCTCTGTTCTGTTTTTGTTTTTCTTTGAAAACATTCCTAAGCATCCTGGAAATTCAGGATTATTAACAAAATCTACTGTGAAAGTGATTACTAGAAATAGGCAGGGTTGCTTGTCATCTTCAAAAGTATAATACAGTCCTAATAGATTACTCATAGATGAACTCGCTTTTTAATGACGTTGTAATTACGTTCTCTAGCTGATATTGTGAAAATCGTTCTAAGATGTAATTTTATGATGTTTCCTTTGTTTTGGAACACTTAGAGACATACTGTAAGGACATGATCATTCTGTAAATCTAATATTTATTTATTCTAATTCTGTCCTGTCCCTGGCCAGTCGTTGACGGTGGGATGTGAGACGGTGGATATGACTCTGAGAAGAAACGGACTGGGACAGCTGGGCTTCCATGTGCGGCTGGACGGCACTGTGGCTGAGGTACGGCCAGATGACCACCACACAAGATCTTGAATTTTCACTTACAAAGAATCTTGGCTTTTCATAATGTGCCTGTTTTGCCTTGACCTTGTTGTTGGTGTTTTATCTGCTGCAGGTGGAGGAGTATGGTTTTGCGTGGCAGGCGGG